GTGAGGCACCTACACACACACACGAGCCTTCAGGGGACCCTTAGGTGATGCTCTGCCGACTCATGGACCTGCATTAGTGGCTCTGGTGGCGGCTGCAGCAGACACCACATCTGTGGGAGAAAAGAGGGGCCCCATGTATATAGGAACAGCGCTGGCCAGCTTGTCCATCAGTTTCAGGAGGCCTCCCGTACGCACACACACAAATATTAGCCCTCTGCGTGAGCACTGGATAGGAACTGCCAACAGCCAGGCAGAAGACTTTGTCAATAATTTATTAATAAAAATTCACACACTGTAATGAATGATAATCAGGGAGTAATTAGAATTCTTTGGAGAGTTTAGAATTTCTGGTTTCAAGAACCATCATAAAATTGCAAAGCAAATAATCTAAGTCTTAGAAATAGAAATTCAATATAAAGCTTTCCTATTCTACAGATAAAAATACTATTTTCTCCTCTCTTTCTCCCTCCATCCCTGCCTTCCTCCTCCCACTCACTTTCTGGTAATGAAGATTGAATCCAGGGCCTTGTACATGTCAGGCAAGCACTCTACCACTAAGCTATATCCCTTTTTATTAAAATAAAAAATTTCTTGAGACAGGATCTCTCTATGTTGTCTGGGATTGAATTTGTGATCCTCCTGCTTCAGCAACTGGGATTATAGGCATGTACCTGCAGGCACAGCAAGAGTACTTATTATTTTCATATGAAAACTTGTGTGGAAGAATTAATGCACAGAAAAAATTAATTTTGTTCATAATACATATTAGAATTCATAAATTGGCATTTAAAATCTATGTGCATAATAAAACCATTTTTGGTTTTTGTAACACATCCACAATTTATGGGAAACGTCAGAGAAAACACTGAAATACCATTATATGCCATTATACAAATGAACATTAAAAACTAAATTCAGACTTATAGAAATTGATTTATATGAAGCGTTGTCTTTTAAGAGAAATTGTTATGCATGGCTCATCAGCTCTAGATATACTAAAATGTATATTTCAAAATAATTTCCAGAAATTTATGCTAATATTGTCAGTCTATGACAGTGATGGCAAACCTTTTAGAGACAGAGGGCCCAAACTACAACCCCAAATCCACTCACTTATTGCAAAGAGCCAACGCTGCAATTAAATGTCTTGAATATCTGATGCTCAGCAGCTGGGGTGGTTCTGGGGTGACTTGGCTCACGGGCCAACAGAGTGGGCTCTGTGTGTGTGTGCTGCGGCACGTGTGTCCAAGGCTTACTACCAGTGGTCTATAAAATACTCATAACAACTCCAGGAACAGTAACCTCATCAAAGAGAGCCTTCTCAAAATCAAAATGTCCTGGGTCAAGGAGGTAGCTCAGTGGTGCCACACCTGCCTGTCAAGCACAAGGTCCTGAGTTCAATCCCTGGTACCAAAAAAATAAAAATAAATAAAATTAAAATAAAAAATTAAAATTTACCAAAAATTTTCTGTGATTGTCAAGAGTGACTGATACTGCTTTCAAGTATATTAATACAAAAAAGCTGCTAAAAGAATATGTCAATGGACTAATAAATGCATCTGCAGAAAAGTGAATCATAAAAGAAATTCCATGATAAATCAAGAATTCATATATATACACACAGAACTATAAGTATCATTAGTTATTGCATTGTAAATTTAGGACTTAAAACATTTTTTGGCAATTTGTACATTATACATTATATCATTGTTATTACTTGTGTATTACTATTACTATCATAATATTTCATATATAATAAAATTTGTTTATAGAGAGAAGCATTTATGCTTTAGTATCTTTAACTGAAACTTTACCCTGTGTTTTTGAGCATCTGTCCCACATTTTCAGCTTTTCACTGAGTCCTACAAATTATGTAGCTGACCCTGACTGATTTATAGGAAGGAAGTACAGTATAGGAAGCCAGGACAAATCCCTTGATTATCAGAAAAGAAACAATGTTCACAGTTAATTTTTCTTTATTTCAGGAATTAAAAGTCATCTAAATGGTGAGGAGTCTTATATTTTTAAAAAACTATAAAGATAAGGAATAAGGAACTATCTTAATTCTGGGCCGATATTTTTACTTTCTCAAACTTTGGTAATTAGGTTAAATAAGATGGCTCTAACTGAAAAGAATTAGGTAAAAAAGAAATTTAGCATCTAAGATTTGGCGCAGACTGGACATATCAACTGTGTGAAATGTGTTCAGTGAACAAAAGAAAACTAGATCTAAAGAAAAGTATATGAACAGTATCTCACTAAATATATATATTTGTATATATTTATATTTATAT